TATGCATGAGTTGTATTGATCTGTTTTCTTTTTCTGAAAACATTGTTGTCACTGCCAGGGCAGCTTGGGCAAAACGATTAAGTCAGTTGCTCTCCATTTGTCCAGTAGGGGAACTCCTTGAACATATAAAGAGATCACAGACCATAAACTGTGCATGTCGATTAAGAAGATACAAGACAAAAATGTTACTTCTTCATAGTATCAAGCTACTAGTTAATCTAATAATTTCTTCCAGCAGAACCTATATATAGTTAAGTCATTATATTTATTCGATGTAAAGGTAATGCGTGGCTTCCCTGTGGGTGTGCAGACCCTGAAATCAATCTGAGCCTTGCTTCCCCACCTCTTAAAGCTGAGTTCTGCTGGGTGCAGCCCCCTGCGCCTGTCACACCCCGCACCTTGTGCTGCCTCAACATGCCACCCGTCTTCCCAGCCTCCTGCCCACACTGCTCCCTCTGCCTTAGTGCCCTTCTGCTTCTCCTTCTCCAGCATGGAATCATGAATGCTAAGAAATCTGCCTCAACCCACTAGGCAGAGTGTCCCCTAGCGTCAGTGAGTGAGGGGTCTGACCCCTAGTACACCTGTCAATTAAGTGCACTGCTCCAATGCAGTAACAACAATGAACAGGAGGGATTTCTTAAAACTCAGTTAGAATCGGGTTGGGAGGCCGTGAGAGGGGCTGCTCAGCAGAGGCCGAGTGGCTGGATGCGAGGTCTGTGGAAGCTCCAGCTCAGGAGCAGGAGCAATGCCAATGGGCAGCCAGAGGACAGACCAGCCAGGCAGACCCCAGGCACGGGGCAAGCCAGGACAGACAGACCCACTGACACCAGCCACAGGCTCAATGGCAGGGGCAGCAGAGCACTCCACGGTCACCTTGGGACTCACTAGGGAACTGGCTGTCCACCCACGAGGCAGCACCAACGAGGAGGGGGAGGGAGGGGGCCCACCCTGACACAAGAGCCTCCTCTCGGGGTTCGGGGCCCACGCCACCCACCGTATGCCCACTGAGGGGCCAGAGTGGGCGCGGAGATGCAGCCTTTTCACCACCATACAACAGCTAACTACAGGGATCTTTAAGTGAGCTTGAGTAGGATGACTTTACTGAGCAGATTAACAACACGGGCTTCTTTTCCTCCAGTCTGGCTGGCCATCAGGATGCAGGCTTATTGGGGAGCAGACAGATTGCTCGGAGAAAACCGAAGAAGCTACATTCTTCTTTATATGTGTCTGACCGTGGCGTGAGTCTGATTTTAGCAATCCCCTACAGCTCTTTTAAAAACGGCACCCATACTGCCTGTCCTGTAATTGGTAGAGTTTAGTTGGATGAGTTAGCATCACAAAGGTCAGGAGAAGGACCAGGAGACGGGCTTTTGGCTCATGAGTGGTCAACCTCGATTAGTGAACCAAGCAGATGTTAGAAGGCATTCAGTAGAATGGACAGAAAGTAAAGGTAACAGCTGAATGGACAGGACTAAGAGACAGAAAAATGGAAAAAGATTTTGATACAAACAGCAAGAACAATAAGCTACTAAAAGACAGACTGGAGACACCATGGAAGTTTTGCAGTGAAAGTGGGACTTGGGCTCCCCCTTGAGGGGTGGGTAGAATTTGACTGGACAAGAAAGAAGCTGAGAAGAGCACAGCATCCTATGGGCCTGAGGGAACTCATGAGTGTGGGGCGGGGCAGGGGGATCACGGGTTAGAGCAGGAGTGATGACAGGATCATATGCATGAAACCACAGGAAGGCCTGTGACAACTTTAAGAGGGTAATGTCCTCAGGCATCTTTTTTTTCTGACTATGCTTTATTCTAAGTCTGGATAACCTTTATTCTAAGTCTGGCTTTCCAAAATTTGGCCAAAAACATTCTACCATCGCTTAGCAGTTGGCTTGTAGCTCTACTGTAGAAAAAAAAAAAAAAAATGAATGTCCTCTCTCTCCAGAAAAGACTTGCAGTAGTTCAGTAATTTTATCTGTTTATAGTTAGGATTTACAATGTGGAACAGACAGACCCATAGCTTCCTAATGACCCAATTTTCCCAGAGAAATTCCTACTCCCAAAAGCGCATGCTCACACCAACATAAAAAATTTTCTGACAGACAGGCACGCTACAGTGACTTTCTACTCTAGAGGCTTGACTTCTGTGTTCAGGAACAGTGTGACACAAGACTGGAAGTAACCTGGAATAAATATGAAGACCCCACTTTTTAAAACACTTTCCTTTTCAGAACTTACAAGAGACTTAGGATTTCCCTATATCCAAAGCCGCCTCCCTCCCTGGCATCCCAGTCTGCTGAGTGAGGAGAAAGGCCTGGAGCGACAGCATGCGGCCTGCTTGCGCGCTGAGTGCAGTTGCCCCTGTGCCCCTGGTCATCTGGGTGTGCCCGTGGGGATGCAGGCGGCTCCATCTTCCCCTCGGGACGGGGAGTGGTTAAGAGCTGCTCAAGTATGCCAGAGCCAGAGCAAGGCACAACCACCTCCAGCTTAATGAGCAGGCCCCTCCTTCTTAGAAAGCGTGTTCAAGTTTATTGAAATGCTCCTCGGCTTTTCTCAGGAAACTTCTGACCCATGTTAAAAGCACATGACACTGCAGAACATTTTCTGTACTTAGACAGCTGAGTGGGGAGTAAATGTTTGAAGGTTGCTTTACCCTTGCAAGGTCCTCTGTAAACAGCGGTGGGGAATTCATAACCATTTCAGAGTCAGTCTAACGTTTTTATGGCTTCCATTTGCAACTGCTCAGAAAGGGAAGCCAGCATGACCCCCGTACCGCCTAGGAACCTGGTAGCAGGTGCTAAAAGCATGGGCATTAGAGCCAGATGGACAGGCACTCAAATCCTAAACACCCCACGCACTTGTATGTCGCTGGACAAGTTATCTGACTTCTGTGCTTCAGTTTCCTCACTTATAAAATAGGCAAAGCAGTAGCATCTGTCTTACAGAATTCATCTGAAGATAAAATAATGAATATAGGGCAGTGGTTCCCAACATGGGGCTCATGCCCCACAGGGGGGCAATTTGATTTTTAAGGGGGACAATTCGAGAATGAGTTATTAACAGTGAATGTTTGTATTTCTTATGGTTCTAGGGGCCTCATGCACTCCATATATATATATATATATATATATATACACACACACACACACATACACACACATATATACATGCACACACATACACATTTCAGTACTCTAGTATATGTTTTTAAAATTTTGCAATTTTTTTCATATCACTTCATATTATTATTTTTTAAAATAATTTCTTAGTGATTTCTTCCTCAGTACTTCAACTGTTCTTTTGTTCTTTTATTTTTCTCTTTCATGGATGCCATATACTTTAGAAACTTGTTTAGACCAAGTTAATGGCCTTTTAGGCTTCCTCCATGTGAATAGGAGTTCATTTTTTAAATAATAAGAATCATATGTCACAGGGGAGCATCAGGATTTTAGAGATGCTTAGGTGGGGATGGCCAAGAAAGGTTGGAAACCACTGATACAGAGCATTTAGCATAGTTCCTGATATAAAATGTGTTCTCTACAATCAAACTTTCTATTAGCCCGGTGTCTCATTAGTATTCTGATACTTATTTTCCTAAAAGCCTAGGTTAACTGTTCAGTGTTTATTTTATTTTGTTAATTCTCACCAGGACCATATTTTCTCCATTGATTTTGAGAGAAAATGAAAGGGAGGAAGGAGGAGAAGAAGAGAGAGAAACATCAATGTAAGCAAGACACATTGATTAATTGCCTCCGCCTGTGCTGTGACCGGAGCTAGGGATCGAACATGCAACCCAGGTATGTGCCCTTGATCAGAAATGGAACCTGAGACTCCCTCGGTGCTGGGGCCTACAATTTAATCACTGAGCCACACCATAGAGGGCTCCCTGTCCTTTTAAACAAGGTGATTTATCTTTGTTATGGGTGTAGAACCTGTGTTCTTACCCATGAGATGAGGATAATACTACTTGCCCTGTTAACTGAAAGAGTCAACAGTTTGGGAATGTATTCTAAAAACTAAATATGTAAAAGTTATTAACTGAAAATTTTAACCTGCAATACACTATAGTTAAGTAAACTTGTCATTAATGATGTGGACAGTTTTGAGTTGCACCTGCAGATGTCAGCGAGGAAAAAAGAATGTTTGTGGATGTCCTTGGTTTTTGTCTCCCCACAATGCCCCATGTCAGAATGCCATATCATGACAAATCGTTTTTCCCAAGCCTTCTCTAAAATGAGTTAATTTTAATTCCTTTTAATCATATAGTGACTCAGTATCTTCATGTGTTTTATTTTTTAATATAACCTGAGGATATTTTTTCCATTGGTTTTTAGAAAGAGTAGAAGGGAGGAAAGGAGAGAGGGAGGAAGGTTAGGAGGGAGGGTGAAGAAAACATTTAGATGTGAGAGAGAAACATCAATTGGTTGCCTCCCACACGCACCCCAAACCAGGGCTGGGGATTGAACCTGTAACCCAGGTACATGCATGCCCTTGACTGGGAAATCAAACCCGAGACCCTTTGGTGTACAAGCTGATGCTCTAATCACTGAACACACCAGCCAGCGCTATGACTAGTGTTTTAGTTCGCCAAATGTTGCTTCTAGATTATTTTCCTAAATGTCTGTTGAGCTCTTTCTTAGGAAAGTCACGACTTGGGTAGTGAATAAGATATGAGTTACTATAATATTTTATTCCCAACTCAAGTCAAATCATGTTTATTTCTAATTTAGATCGCCTACTCATGGAACAATAATTAAATTAGGTATAGCATGATGTAGCTGGCAACGCAGAGACTTCTGAGATTTGAATATTAAACCAGTTATTTAATAGCTAATTTCATTTTAAGCAATTTATTTTATCTTTCTGAACTTGCATCTGAGAGATGGGACTAGAACCTTTTAAAAGAGATGGTAATCTTAAAGAGCAAAGGACAGTACCCTGACACAGTAAATGTTCTTAATGTGAGAATAATTTAACCTCAGAACAAAACAGCATCCACTTACAGTTCACAGAGGCCAGCTCTGGTGCGAATGACAGGCACAAGCTGCAGTAACATTTTGACACCATTTTGCCATTCTTCTTCTCGTTCGAACTCACAGTATAGATAGCTACATTCATCAGATGAAAACTGATAGAAAACGTAGGTGTCCTGAAAGTATAAATGCTGATCCACTGTTGGGAAGAAAAAAGGTGTGGGTCAGTTTTTTAAAGTATATTATTTAGAGAGTCGTAAACCAAATACTAAGCTGAAAGCATTACTGAGTACTATTTGCCAGGGGTGGGACTACAGTCACACAGTCTAAGTCTATTCATGCTCACAATTCCAGTGAATTAAAAATGATTTACTGACCAATCTATTTTTATTATTTGAAGCTTTGACCAGCATATTCACACATATTTTATCACCTTTCTGCTTTAGGGACAGACAAAATCTGTAGTCATTCAAAGACAGTGAGGAGGTATTTCTTTAGTGTCCCAAAGCAGACTGATACATGTAATTACTTTAGTGGAACACAGTACAACATGGTGGCAAGTTCTACATCAGTGGTTTTCAACTAGGGTGACTGTGCCCTCTCTAGGGAACACTTGGCAATGTCTACAGATGTTCTTGGTTGTCAGAGCTAGGGGGTGCTATTGACATCTGGTGAGTGGAAGAAAGAGATGCTGCCACACATTCTACAAGATATGGGCCAGCCCCTTACAACTAAGAACTATCTAGCCCAAAATGTTAACACTATCAAGGTTGGTAAACATCATTTTAAAGGAATTGGGACTGGAGACTTTTCCAAAAAATATTAACACAAAATGTTTTGTGGAATTTCTCAAGAAAGCTGATAACATTGCTCAAAGGTAGCTAAATGATCTACACTAATAAAAGAGAAATATGCAAATTGACTGCCACTTTGCTTCGCCCACTAGCCAATCAGGAGTGTGTATGCAAATTAAGATGGTGGTGGACACCCCCCCCCCCCCCCCAGTCACTCCAGGCCTCTGGACAGCATGAATGCAGGCATGGAGTGTCTGGGTGGGGCAGAAAGCCTGCTATAAGGGACTGAGGGAACTACAGGAGGGGAGCTCTGCCTGAAGTGAAGACTGAAGGCAGCTCAGAGTGAAAGCAGGGGTCCCGGGTGCTGGAAGAAAACCGGTGCCAGCAGCCAGGGGAAGGAAGGCCTATTGCAGAAATCTCTTCATGCAATGGGCCTCTAGTTTTCTAAATAAGAGAATCAAGTGTTAGTTATTATTAACTTACTAAGATTATACCCCTAACCCTATCTGAACCACTCTCCCACCAAGGAACTTGGGTTAAGCCTTTCTGAACCTTACTATGTTCTCTGGCCCTCTATATTTATTACCTAGAGAAAAAAGGGAGCGGGTTGGGCAACCAATATTGACCAACCAGCATCTCTACGAAAGAGCTTAAAAAAAAAAAAAAATCGGATTGCATCACTCCTATTCTCCAAAACCCTAGGCTCAACAAAGAAAAGAGATATCAACTATCTTTTTAGTTTCTAGTCAACAGCAATTTTATGTTCTGTTTAAACAGCTAATTTTTATAGGTCATATCTCTAACTGTTCATGATTACTTAGTCAATCAAAACGGCATACACATTCCACTCATAAAATCAGTCTCTGATGATAATTTTAAGTACAGCAAGATAAATCACACAGTTAGGGCAACTAAAAATGTTACTGATTTTTAAAAAAATTGTGAACAGCATTTTGAGTAGAGAAGTGGGGGGGGGGGGTACTCGAATAACTCTTATAGGCAGATGTCTATGAATCAGCAGGTACCTAATTATTTTTACAAAAGGTGTGAGAGAAATAACAATCAAATGATGACCTATCACTTTTATTTATAAAATAAGAGAGAATGCAAATATTTATCTGCAAAACCAATGTCCATCCAGGTAACTAGAATATCAAGTATATTTTGGTCTGGCCATTTAATAAAAAGTATTGATTCTGTGCCTCCCAAACATGCCCTACTAACCTGATGACAGAATCCCCATGTCCAGTAGGAGCTGCCAGACCCCTATGGCCGTGGATCTGCACTGGATGAAAGGACAGTGTTCCAGAAGCCAGTCGACCAGTTCTGATCCAACACAGCTTCGCCTGCATAAAACAAAGCCATTCACATGAGACTTGTGGCCACTCATTTGCCAAAAAATTGGTATTTAACAGCATCCCTCTCATGTGCTTGCTTTTTAAAACAAGTGACTCAATAATACATGACATGTATCTCTGATTCATTCCTCTTTCAGATTTTAGCTCAAATATCACTTCCTTAAAGAGACTTGGAATCAAATTCTCTTATACTTTATCTTCAAGTCACCTAACATTTAATAATGATACGTCTTTCTGAAAAAATAATATCTGCGTACCAGAAGGAGGCAGAGCAGGGCCGTCAGGCAGCAGGGACTCCATACAGAAGGGCAGGAGGAGAACTAAACATTTAATAGGTACAGGCTCCAAAATGATTCACAGAAATGAAACCACAGCCAATGCCAGGAAACAGCAAAGCACAGTCCGTGAGAACAACAAGAAGTCGTCTTTGCATCGGGGCCCATTTGTAACCACACTTTCAAGTAGCTCTTTGAGACAAGAACATCAGCAATACTTGATCGTACTATTTTATAGAAAGACCATAATTATTCATCAGGAGCAAATACTGGAAGAAATCTGAGGCCACATACTACTGTCAACTAAGAAATATGGGAATTGCTTTCCTCTGTATTAAAAGGGGACACCTGCAACTAATACAAAATAATATTGAATATAAACTGTAATTGAAAACTTAAAGAAGAAGAAGAAGGAAGAGGAGGAGAAGGAAGAGGAGGAAGAGGAGGAGAAGGAGGAGGAGGAAGAGAAGGAGGAGGAGGGAGGAGAAGGAAGAGAAGGAAGAGGAGGAGGGAGGAGAAGGAGGAGGAGGAGGGAGGAGAAGGAAGAGGAGGAGGGGGAGGAGGAGGAGGGGAGGAGGAGGAGGAGGAGGAGGAGGGGGAGGAGGAGGAGGGAGGGAGGGAGGGAGGGAGGAGGAGAAGAAGGAGAAGAAGAAGTGGAGGAGGAAGAAGAAGAGGAAGAAGAAGAAGGAGGAGGAGGAGGAAAGCCAATATCTGCTGCGCCCTCTTTTGCCCATGCACTGTCAGGGGCCCTGGCCTGGCCCTATGCCAGGGGACACGAGAGGAACTGAGAATCCAGGCCCATGCTACTGAGGGGCTCAGGTATTTTTCTTTTCACCTTTTAAAAAGCATTCCAGCCCTAACCGGTTTGGCTCAGTGGATAGAGCACTGGCCTGCAGACTGAAGGGTCCCAGGTTTGATTCTGGTCAAGGGCATGTACCTTGGTTGTGGGCACATCCCCAGTGGGGGCTGTGAAGGAGGCAGCTGATCGATGTTTCTAACTCTCTATCCCTCTCCCTTCCTCTCTGTAATAAAATCAATAAAAAATATTTTTAAAAAGCATTCTAGTATTCTCCCTTCAACTTTACCATATTCTCATAAACTTGCACTATTTAGCATTGAAGAAACCTTTAGGACAGTAAGTGGACCTTCAATAAACAGTTAAGTGGAAGTTTGTCTCCCCACAATGCTCCCAAAACTTGCCCACAGAAGCACCCCCACTTTGGTGATGTGAGCGCTCTACCATGGAATAAGCAGGGGGATCAGATCCCCCACTAAGCTAAAAAGGGACAATCACACAACAAGCTTCGGGGAAATGTTGTGAGAGGGGGAAGACAAAAATGAGAGCAAAAACGAACCCCCAAAACCTTGCAACTCATTTTCCTAAACAGACATGACTACTGACTGGCCCGGTTCCCGGTAAGGACTCGGGCCCTGCAGACAGTTTTGAGTGGCACCCGCAGTCTGTCTCAGTGGAAAGGAATTTCTGTGGACGTCCTTGGTTCCTGCAGGCTCCTTGGTGACGGGCATGGTCACGTGTTCACTATTCAACAGCAAATGCTAAGACGGTGACAAAGAGGGCCCGTCCCTCTATAGACCACACCCCAAGAGTCAGCCGTGAGCCTCCTGTTTGCTGCAGGAACACATCGACGGTGTCTTCATCCTCCATCTCCACCTGGGCCGGGATGTCTGCTTCAGTCATTGGCTGCCCATCGAACCGGGACCTAATCTGTCTCATTGGCAGCCCTGCCGCTCGCAGTGGGGCTTCATCAGCTTGCTCAGGATGTGTGTCTCTTAATCTTGAACTGGACCACGGAGCCATTCTGCCAGCCACTTTCAGATTGATGTGGTCATTCTGTCTTCACTCGCTCCTTGGGCTTCTCCTCAGACGTGGCTGTCTGTGGTTGCAGGGCAGTGGGACAGCAGGGAATTGGGCAGCGCAGGAGCTGGCAAGGGTGAGTCACGCTCTAGACCCACCAACTGCTTGCAGGGCCGCGCTTTGTCCCCCAAATCCTGGTGTTCCTGTTGGCCATATGAGGTCAAGTGATGAACGCATGTGCAGGACACGAGTGCCCTGGGCATTGAGCATGCGCCTGGTTAAGCCGAGGTTCCGGCTCTAGTCTCTTTTTAAAAAACAGTTTTCATTGATTTTGGAGGAGAGGAATGGAAAAGGAGAGAGAAACATCTATGTGAAAGAAAAACTGATCGGCTTCCTCCTGCACCCCCCTACTTGGACGCCCCTACTTGGGATTGAGTGCACAACCTGGGCGTGTACCCTGACCTGGAATCAAACCAGTGACCTTCTGGTGCATGGGATGACGCGCAACCAACTGAGCCACACCGGCCAGGGCCTACCTAGTCTCTTTAATAAGAACAAAATAATTCCAAGAGGGTTCGGTAAAGTTGAAACACAGTGGCTGATAGAGAATTTTGTTTGCTACTTTTCAGAGATTAAATTTTAGCATTTGTATCAAAGGGGAATCCCTTTGACTGTGATTCTTTTTAATATAATCTGGCTAAGGAACCTAGATCATAACACCCACGAATGCAGATGTGTGTGAAGGATTCTACTAACCACACACACCAACACAATATTCTCTGTGATCTGTCCTAAAACATATTCAAAGACTGTCCCATCTGGGTGTTACAAAAAGTATCTCATGCCTCCTTTTCCATCTTTATGAGCCTGTGATGGAAAACCCAGAGAAGAAAGCTTGCTGAAATGTAGGTTCTCATTTGCAGAAATTTCATTGAATCCCACTCTCTCTTATGCGAAACTGTCACCAAAATGATTTTTTTTAAATGATGTATCATGTGAATGGCTATGTTCATTCAATATTTGGTATTTAAGGACCAAAAGATGTAAACTTTATTTGTATTCCTAAAACAGAAAAATATTGCCTATCTTCTGTGACTGACATAGGCACAAATAGCTAGAAATCACACAGTAACCAACAACACAAAGATAGGCCGAGAGGCACTTCATTTCCTAGAGTGAAGAAAAAAATAAGCTTTTTCTGTTGAGAGGTCTGATCAAACATTCTAGCTTTCAATAACGCGTCACCGTTTTGGTATAGCATTGCTGTTCGTAAGATACTCTAGCAGGGGTCCTCAAACTTTTTAAAGTGGGGGCCAGATCACGGTCCCTCAGAGAGCTGGAGGGCCGGACTATATGAACTACTAATTCCTACTGTAACACCTTGGCTGCGCTCACTGCCCAAAAAACCTGGCGGGCCGGATCAGACTCCTCTGCGGGCCGCATGTGGCCCTCGGGCCGTAGTTTGAAGACGCCTGCCTAAGGCAATTAATGCAATACCGGACATGCTTAATTGCAGGTTAGCAATAAGACATTAAACAGGTTAACAGTCAAATAAATGGATGTGTTTCCTTAAACAAAATGAGAAAACAGATCACAACGAAACAGTTAATTAGACCAATATAAACTTCTAATTCGATAGGACACCTATCATGTGAAAGGCTCAAAGTGTTAATTAATTCCTCAACACCTCTGTCAATTAGCCAGCATCTTCACACTAATTGCTTGGAGCACAGTTATCACACGGATTAAACACTGTATCGTTTGTAATCCTTATTCTCAGAACGGTCCAGCTCCTCAACCTACGGTGTGGAACATGAAAGGCCAGGACGGAACATTTACTGAATCAACCAAACTGTTACACTGCAAAAGGTGGCTGGACGGGTGGGCACACATGTTTGTTCACAGGTGATGGTGGAGAAATTTCTCAGACTGGGGGGTCCTCAAAATCATGGTTAAGCATGACCTGAGAGATCTGGCTAACCTGCAGGTTCTGAGGTAGGACGGAGAGTGTGGGTGGGGCCTGAGAGTCCTGGATTCTAACTGGCATCCCAGTGATGCTGATGACCACAAAGCCCCAACCCCCAGTTCTCCCTTGTCACTGGGAAGAGCTCGCTCTGTTAGGGGGTCAGGGCTGAGTCCATATGTGAAAACACAACACTGCCCCGACAGCGGTTAGCAAGGAGGTGAGCTGCCACTGCATTAAACTCATCCTCCCCGGACTTCTGACCAGGCCCGCAACAAAGCAGTTAAAATGCCCAGATCCACAGGATTTAAGGAGAGTGGTGAGGAGGGAAACTGAGACGGTGGGGAGGGAGCAATCTGAACATGGACAGCAGCTCTTGTTCCCGGCGTTGTACTGAACACAGAAACAGTTCCAGGGACATGCAGACCTCACCACAGTCGCGCCTGAGGTAGGAACACTGTGATACAGAGGTGGCTAGGTACAAGGCCATGTGATTGCTATAACAAAGCATTCTTTTCACAATCTCTGGAGCTGAACGTTTGCTATCTCTTAGCTTCCTTCTGTTACATTTTTAGCAATTATTTCATGACAGTGCAGACACAACTTTAATCTCGAATATAAATGGGGCGATGCTATTCGGAGACCAGCTCTGAAAGTAATTCTCGTGCGGTGTGCAGGGAACACTTCCCCATAATGCACTACCAGACACACGAAAATGGTCCCTTGTGGGCCACCATATTGGCACTTTGTCTTTATACCCAGGCCATGCATTAGTCCTTAGATTTTAAGAGAAGGGAGGTTCTGGCCTGACCGTTGGGAATCTGAAACAGCAAAAACTCATGCTCTTTCCTCATTCTATTCCCTCCAGTGTGTTCTAACTTGGATGGATGGTTCTTTCCATGAACACAACTAATGTATATCTCTCCATTCTTTTTTCAATCTATGTCTATAGAGATCACATAAAGAAACAAAACAGAACAATGACAGACATCACACACAGCCTTTTGTGTGGTGAAAGTGAATCCCATGAACCCAGCTGGAGAGCTCAGTTGGTTAGAGCATCATCCCGACACCCCAAGGTTGTGAGTTTGCTCTCCAGTCAGGGATCATACAAGATTCAACCAGTGACTGCATAAATAAAAGGAACAACAATTTTTTTCTCTCTCTCTCTTGTCAATTAAAAAAAAATGAATCTTATTAGCTCACTCACAACTAAATCCAAAGATCTGTACAGTTCTTAAAAAAAAAAAATCAGACATGTCTAAGTTTAAAGAAATGACCTTTTTCCTACTTTTTTGCTGTCATTTATTCTTCCTATTCTTCCTATTCTTTATGGTATTATGATTTCATTTCTATAAGAAAGAATAATGAAAACCAATGATAGGGTTTTGGTTTTTTTCCTTTTGTAGTTTTCTTCTGGTATTATTTGGTGTGGTTTAATATCTTTACCTAACATAAAAATATGGAAGACTACTAAAAAAAACTTTTGGCCCTAGCCGATTTGGCTTGGTGGATAGAGCGTTGGCCTGTGGACTGAATGGTCCTGGATTCGATTCTAGTCAAGGGCACATGCCCGGGTTATGGGCTCAATCCCCAGGGGGAGAAGGGCTTGCAGGAGGCAGCCAATCAATGATTCTCTCTCATCATTGATATTTTTATCTCTCTCTCCCTCTTCCTTCCCCTCTGAAATCAATAAAAATCAATAAAAAAAACCTTTTTTTTTAACCTCCAGAAAATGAAAATATGGGCTCCAATCCTTCCAAGTGACTACTCTCTTGGTCCAGCTTTCTTTAAAGCAGGCCTCTAACCCACCCGTTTACTCTAGCGCCTCTGCCCTTATTCACTAGCCAAGACAGAGAAATGCCATCCCTCCACCAACCTGCCCCTCCTGCTCTTCAGAGCACCCAAGGGGATTCTCACTCCCACCTGGCGAGCTGAGCAAAGTCTCTCAGCCCATGGACCCGAGAGTCCTCTCAGAGGCTTGCTAAGGCCCCTGAAGGGGGAACTATATTTATTGGCGTCGCCATGTAGAACACGCCCAATAAAATTATGCTAAACTGTCCCAGCTCAGAGGAAGCAGAGGCTCTCTCAGGACCCCATCCACACCTGGGGATGCCAGACCCTAACTTCAGAACCAGGAGTCCAACTGTCAACAAACACTTAGCTACGTTTAAAGAAGAGACAAGTCATCACCAGTGACCCAAAGGACACCTCACACAAACTGACCAACCCCTTCTGCTCCTGATACAGCCTGTCTCTGTGACCAGGCTTAAGATTTTAACACTTTTTTTTTTTTTTTCTGACAAGATGTTAGAAAACTGTGTTACCTGTAAAATCCCTTGAGGTTCACTCTGTCCTTGATCAGATCAGCTGCCTGGACGATAATGATATTCCTCAGTGCTCTTCCTGCACAAGAAGAATTCTCCCCATAAATCTAAGTGGAAAAAACAAACATTACCTGTCAATGTAGAATAATCATGCCATAATTTTTGAGCATACTATATAAAAAAAAATAATGACCAAATCCATAAGCTTAAGACACTTATGCAGCTACAAGCTCAGCTACCTATTTTATTTTACTTTTGCTGTTGGTTCATTTATGCTATGAAACTCTAACAGCTATTTTCTGTATGCTAAACGGTTTCGACTAAAATTACAAATAATATATTTTACATAAGTTTTTAGTATAAAATACCCACTGTTTTTAGTAGTAAAAACATGGTGTTTCTATCAATAAGGCAAATCAAGGACTATTTTTATTATGCATTAGCTCTGCCATATTGATTAACACATCCATATAAAGGACTTGGAAGATGGGAGACAGGGGAAAATTAATTTCTCATATTCCAAGTCCTTTAATTCACCCTCTTCCCTCATAGTTGCCCTCCCCCCGCTGCCCCAGTGCATTGTGCTGTCCTAATGAAGGAGCTGAGTGACAATGAACTGTCTTCATAAGTGAAGGCTCATGAGAATTCGTATACACAGGGGGTAGGTATTCATATCTGTTCCCTTGTTTCTTGGAGAACTCTTTCTGCACCTACAAAATTTGCCTCAGTAAAATATATATCTTCGCTCAAAGCAAGCAAATGGATAATATATTGATTATAACTTAACAGGGAATGATTCCACCCCATCCTCACACTTTTTAATGTTCCTGTTATCACCTCCTAAACACAACCCTATGAGAAAGTGAGGACAGAAAATGACTTACTTTTAACACGTTAAAACTTAAAAAGAACGTGAACAAGTCAGATGACAGAAACTATTACCCTAAGAGAGGTACAAGTCAGCGGGCACTTGACTGGTCCTGATGTGGTACCAGGATGCAGTCCCTCAATCATTCAGGTAGACATTTAATGACGCTGGGGATACGATCATGGATAAAGGCCAAAAAGGTCTCTGTCCTCACAAAGCTCCCCAGCTCCTGTTGTTTTAAAAATGCAACTCTCTGACAACATGATAGAGGCTCCTCATCTTTTCTCACCCATGAGCATTTGTGGCATTCTACTATTAGATAAATGTAAGCATAAATAATCCCCTTGCCAGTTTTCAGTGTTAAATACCCACCATTTTTTAATACAGTGTTTCTATACAGGAAATTGAAAATGTTTATATTATGTATTAAACTCTGCCATATTGATAATGCATTCGTGCAAAGGGCGTGGATGATGGGGAAATCTTTTTTCCTATCTAGTGAACATCTTGAATTCTGACCCAGCTACCCGGACATCTCATCTGACTCTGGCTGGGTCACCCCGGGGAAGGAGACGGCATGGTCAGGAGCACAGAGGACAATTGTGACTAGAGAATTCACCATCAAGGTCTGCGAACCGCTGTTTCAGAAACTACAATAAGAGAGAAAAGAATCATACCTGGGAAGAAGTGTGCTCGAGGTATGGATTGGAAATCCTTCTCTGGAGAGTCTATTTTAAAAGAAAAAGGGGGGCAAATCAGAACCAAGTAGAAATCGTTGTACCCTACGCGCAGCAGTGGAAGGCCCAGGAGCTGTCCCTGCTGACAGATGAGCTTAAACATCTAGTCCCAGAGCACTAACGTCCTTATTCTCATGCTGTAAGTGCCTGGTTGACATGCACTCCCATGGGACAGGACATACCATTCGAACGGCTCCCAACCTACAGAGTGCAAGTTTAAAAAGTGTAACAGAAAGACTGGGGTGTTTTTGTACTTGTCACTTGGTTCTTCATGTGATTTTGGTTCCATTTCTCCTTTCCTTCTCCTGTCCATGTTCACAGTCTAACTAAGCTTTCAACCCACCCGCCGGAACCGCTGCTGCAGCTGTATGACAGATTTCCCTGCCCTTTAGTCTAGTCACGCCCTCTCCGGCCATCCTGCAAACCACCCCCGCCCACCCCCCCCCCCCCCTACACAAATGTCTCTAAGCCACCCCCTCATCTGATAGTGGGGCTCCTATTGCTTATGTGCATCAATCCACACACCCCCAGCCTGCCGTTCTGGGTCCACCGGTCTGCCGTCCACCAGCAACTAGTGGTCTCTTTCCACCTCACTACCTGGGTTCTTTGTGGGTTCTTTGTTTGTTTGTTAATCCATTGATTTTTAGAGAGAGTGAAAGGGAGAGAGTGAGACAGTGAGGGAGAAAAATTGATGTGAAAGAGACACATCAATTTGGTTGCCTCTGCATACCTGACCAGGGCCAGGGATCGAGCCTGCAACCCAGGTACAGGCCTTAGGCCGGAATCAAACCCAGGACCCTTCAGTCCAAGGGCCAATGCTCTATCCACCGAGCCAAACTGGCTAGGGTGCTACCTGGGTTTATTCTTCAAGATGTACTCATCAGAAGACCCTGCCACTCCAATACTCCACAGCTTTGTGTTCACGGCACCCAGCTCAGCAATCTTCATTTTTCTACCCAGTTATTGTAGATATCTGTATCTCTTCATCCACTCAGTAACACAGGAGCTAATTTTTCCCACCGAACAATCCAGCAGGCAGCACCATCACCCATGGGTGCTTAAGCACCATGGGAAATTGTCTTTCCCACTGCAGGGAAAAGAGCGGAGGAACTAACATTTCCTGAGCCTCCAGCCTATGTTTGAAAAGCTCCTTGCTCCTTTATTCCTAGGCTTGCTGTCTGTTCAGATCCCATGGTTTTTAGTCTGCCGCCTCCATTTCTTCGAATTTGCTAAATTTACAAACCATATCCGGCATCTGAAGCTTCTACCAAAATGTAATGTAAGACAGAATTCCCCTTCCGCCTCTTCCCCTCCACACGCCTCCCACACTACTTATCTTCTAATTAAACTGAAATAGACATATAGACGCTTCACCCAAAAATGCCAATGGGTACGCCCTGCTAAAGCCTTGCAATGGCTTCAAAGAAAAGGACATTTATAAGGTAGAGAGGCCATGTTGAATCCCCGTGTCCTAAAAGAAAATACTCACCTCCCCCTTCCCACTCCCAACTGTCTCTTCCCGGGGCTTCTGCCATCCAGCCTTGGTAATGTATTCACTTACTGAAATACTGAACAATTTAAAATTTGCATATGCACCAGATTTATAATTTGACGATGAATCATCATGAAAAGTGATTTCCCTCCTCAACAGAGCGACTTTTAAAGATCAATATAGCAGGCCAGACCTGACAATCTTTATTACTCATCTATTTGCGTGGATCAGCTCGGAAAAGCAAATACTGCCTATGATCTAGTTAAAAAAGAAAGCATTTAGGCAGAAACAAGCTCTAAAGAGCCAGGCAGGGGCACTTCCACAAAAGAAAGCAGCCCGTTCCCTTTCTCTCTGCTGCCAACCTAGACCTGCCTGTCTCAGCCCTAGCCTTGTCCTCCCAGTCCCACTCATGGCAGCGGCCCCTGGATGGCTTGTCTGAAAGGATTGGTAAGGTGAGTAAATAAAGCAAAGGGATTCTTCCCTGCTGACTAGATAACGGGGTTAGATAAGCTGCTGGCCCACAGGGAACGGACAAGAGCAACACCAGAACTGCCTTATACAGAACACAATACCTAGACCTGCAGTCAGACACTCCCCGAAGCCCTCTCTTAAACGGGCGGGGGGGCGGGGGGCAGCTTGGTTTCATTAGTGCCCCTGGTCGGTCGCTGTGGAACTCCACTGAGCTCTCTGCAGAGCTCCGCCAAGTCCTGGTTTCTTACATTTAAAATCATAACTACGCTCTCTTTTGTTAGAGGCCACTCTACGTAAGTTGTTGCAAAAATAGCAGGTGCTAGAGACTTAACGGGAGAAGGGTGTGGAGGAGCGACCCATCCGTTACCTCGTTTTTAATAGGATTGGGAAAGAATTGCTGCATCGTTTCATCCACAGAGGACCAGCCCACAGGAGCCCGAGGCTGCCTGCCCCACATCACCTCACAGCGTGCTCTGCCAGCACCTACCTGGCAGCCGTACAAGAACCCTCTGGACAGTGCACCCCCCTCCCCTTTCAACATGCTCCACCGCCACACCTCATAAACACAGTGCCCTTGTTTCCAATGTCCTAGAATTACTTATATTCGATGCCACGAGTCTTTCATGAAAGACATACGGACACCCATAGAGAAAAGACTGCTAACAGTACAAATAAAATTAGATTGTAATTCAAATATATTTCTTCTCCTTTCCATTTTAATAAACCATGAAAAAGGATTTCCTAGATGATTCTAGGCAAACTGCGTATTTTAAACAGGTATTAGAAAATTACAACCCTTTAATATTAGCTTCCAGAAAAAAAAAAAAATAATGGTATAACTCAAAAGGATAATTGATTAACAATCACATATTACCTTCATGGCTTTTTTTGTTTGTTTGTTTGTTTGTTTTTTGTGTTTGAGTCAGGTGTCTACTAAAGCTAAACTATAATAGTCTGTGAGGCTGGGTGTGAACCGAGCATGAAATTCATTCCAGTCACTAAAAGTATCTTGATAAACTATATAATAGACTTAAGGCACATTTCTTATCAGCTCTTAAAGGTCATCTTAATATGCTCCTTGGATTGAGTTAAAGTACTTAGGCTACTGAGGGGAGAGAGAAATCGAAGGAGAAAGGCCGATTTGTGGGACCTGCTCTATTACAAACAGGCACCAACAAGAACCACCAAGTGTATGGATAACTTGCGAATTCAGTTCATGACAGAACTTTCTATCACCTCCGGCCACTGTCCTTTTGCCATTCTCGGGGACCAAGTAGGTGATGAGGTAGACTAAGTATCCTTGGATTTCTTACCATCCTAGGAAGCCAGAAAGCTCCATAAGTGCCCGGAGGGCACCTGCAGTAGAGATTATGAACTAAGACAATAAAAGTTGTGATCGGGTAGGCAGTGTGGTGGAGTGCTAAGATGCTGGGTCCTTTTTAAGCCACAGGATACACTCGCCTCTCAATCAAAGCGTGGTCAGGTTAAAAGGACAGAATTCCAGCCACCATGTTGGCTTGAGAATTACATGGCCATCACAAGTTAAGCACAATGTAAACAGGAGACATGAGCCAACTGGTGACATGGAAGGGCAGGGCAGCCAGCTCTGGTGACCATGCAGGCCCACCACCATTTCCCCAAGGAACCAGCTCCCAGCAGCCAGTCACAGCCATAAAGGGCACTGGTCATATCTTCTCAGCATCGCCTGGCCACATCAAAGCCCATGATGTTCTTGAAAGCACTTTTATTCCATGGCTCTAAGTTGTGTGGAGTGAAAGGGAAGGTTGCAAAAACGCTTTCTGAGCACTCACCTCGTCTTGAGCACTTTCCCATAATAGTCACTGTACCCATCTATTCCTATTTTTACAGACAAGAGGCCGGAGGGTGACAGAAACTAAAGTTTACTTACTGCCCCTGAGCTGGGAAGTGACAGAGCCAGGACTGAGGCTAAAGTGACGGTTCTAAAGCCACCACTCTCCTGTAACGGGCTGCATGTTGTGAAACAGCAATAACTGCCCGGCCAGTGGTTGTCCTGTGCACCCTCAGAAAGATGCGGGTTGGAGTCCCAGTCAGGGCTCTTAGGGAAGGCGACCAATCAACGTTCTCTCTAAAATCAATAAGCATATCCTCAGGTGAGGATTAAAAAAATTTGTTTAAGAAGTGTTTAAAAAAATAATAATAATTAAATGAATTACTGAGTTCGTATCTTCTACCTTAGAATGTGGTGATTTAAGAGGAACATGACAAACAAGTACATTTAACTGCATGAGGACATCACAAGTAGCATCCACTAGATATGGCATATGAATTAGAACCACCTAGGAAACTAAAACAAACAAAGCAAAACAGGTGTTCAGGCCACGGAACTCGAACTTCTGGCACTACCTGCTGCTTTTTGCCAATCTCCCCAGGCAATTCCAACCCGGGGGTGAGAAAAACAATCAAAATCTGTGGATGAGATGGGCCATTTGAACCTCTCATCATCCACCACAGCCAAGAGGCTTGGAGCATTCTCAAAACACCGCCTTATTCACACTCCCGGCTGAGTTCACAGCACAGCAGAGGAATCAGCCATTTGACCAATAACGCCGCGCTTCTAAGTCTACCTGGTGCAGAACAAAGAGCCAGTGTTTCGCCGCCTTGCACCTGTCTGTGTGGTTTGTGTTTTCACATACCCCAGCCCAGACACAGCCCTCAGCCACGATGCCTTAGTGTCTGCAGAGCAGCGCAGCACCCTCACCCCTCCCGAAAGGGCATTTTCTTTCAATGGCATCCACGGCATTCGGCTTCATTGTTACTTCCCATTACTGAAGGACTCTTCTAGAATAAACATGTTTGTCCACTTAAAAGCTAACATAAAAACAAAACAACAACAACAACAACAAAAAACAGAGGATTCTAGGAACACCTGTAAGTCTTTCACAATCTCGCCTGCCTAAGGACATAAATCAGCAAGAACCTACAGCTTCTTGGAAATATGGACACAACAGGTACAACAGAAACAAACCCAAAGGCACCACCAACTTGT